CAAGTAGTCATGTACATCACTAGTAGTATTTATTGTTGTATTACACCAATGATAGGTCAGGACTACAAGTAGTCATGTACATCACTAGTAGTATTTATTGTTGTATTACACCAATGATAGGTCAGGACTACAAGTAGTAATGTACATCACTAGTAGTATTTTTTGTTGCATTACACCAATGATAGGTCAGGACTACAAGTAGTAATGTACATCACTAGTAGTATTTTTTGTTGTATTACACCAAGGATAGATTGGGACTACAAGTAGTAATGAAGTTTGTGACATTCATTTGTTTGTGTAGTCATGACTTGTTTGTTTAATAAAAGGTATCATATTTGTTTGTGACATTCAGTTGTTTGTGTAGTCATGACTTATTTGTTTTGTAAAAGGTATTACATCTGTTTGTGACTCTGAGTTGTTTGTGTAGTCATGACTTGTTTGTTTTGTAAAAGGTATTACATCTGTTTTTGGCTCTGAGTTGTTTGTATAGTCATGACTTGTTTGTTTGGTAAAATGTATTACATCTGTTTGACATTAAGTAGTTTGTGTATTTATGACTTGTTTGTTTGGTAAGAAGTATCACATCTGTTTATAGCATTCAGTTGTTTGTATTGTCATATCTAGTTTTTTGATGAGGTATCTCATTTTATTTGTGACATTCAGGTGTTTGTGTTTTCATGTCTGGTTTTTTATAAGGTATCTCATTTTATTGAGTCCATTATTTTGTCATTCATAGCCTGTTTGAAAAGAGATATTTATTCGATGTGTTACTCTTGAGTGAGTTGTACTGTCATTATTTGTTGGTTTGTGAAGAGCTATTTGTTTTGTTTGTCACACTTGAGTGGGTTTGTACCATCATGACATGTCTGTTTGTGAGGAGTTATTTATGTTGTTTCTCACACTGAAGGGTATATTACCATGATGTGTATGTTTGTGAGGAGTTATTTATGTTGTTTCTCACACTGAAGGGTATATTACCATGATATGTATGTTTGTGAGGAGTTATTTATGTTGTTTGTCACCCTGAAGGGTATATTACCATGATGTGTCTGTTTGTAATGAGTTATTTATGTTGTTTCTCACATTGAAGGGTATATTACCATGAGATGTATGTTTGTGAGGAGTTGTTTGTCACACTGACGTGTATATTACCATCACATGCTTGTTTGAAAGTGAGAGAGACTTTGAGTTAGCAGTAATAAGAGATGTAATGTTAGAGGGTTAGTTTATAGGAGCTTGCTTTTGTATGTTAGAAATTATACTACAAAGAGAATGGACTTATCTTATTTTCTTTGTAAAGTTATAATTATAATTTGTCTAACTCCCACTGTCATGACCATTTGTGTTATCTCGAATACTCAGTTCATTAATAGTGGAACCAATTTGTATTGTCAACATGTGAGTGTAAAAACAAGAATCAACCAGTTTATTTAGGACAGAAGAGTTTCATTTTTTAGTTCATAGAGTGAGTGTAAAGAAAGGGATCAACCTTATTGTACAGAAGTCTGGTGTTTCTTTATAATTATGTAAAAATAAGAATTAGTTGACCTGCTGCTTTTAATGTAGTTAAACATAAGGTATGTATTTAATTAGGAGATGGTTGGGTTGATGGATTTGGAGCTGAGTTATCAGATGTTATCAGTACTACTCCTGAACTGGAAGACATTGAAGATATTTCCCAAGACAGCAGTATAGGGATTGAAAAAGTTTCATTAAAAAGGTAAGTTTAGTGCTACCTTAGGGGTAATGTTTTTATGTATGGAAAAACTCTGTGTGTTTCAGGACCAAGTTATTAGTATTTGTATCTATGGAAGACACTGTGTGTTTCAGTACCAAGTTATTAGTGTTTGTTTGTATGGAAAACACTGTATGTTTCAGTACCAAGTTATTAGTATTTGTTTGTATGGAAAACACTGTGTGTTTTAGTTCCAAGTTATTAGTATTTGTATCTATGTAAAATACTGTGTGTTGCAGGACCAAGTTATTAGTGTTTGTTTGTATGGAAAATACAGTGTTTCAGTACCAAGTTATTAGTATTTGTATTTATGGAAAACATAGTGTGTTTCAGTACCAGGTTATTAGTGTTTGTTTGTATGGAAAACACTGTGTGTTTCAGTACCAAGTTATTAGTGTTTGTATCTATGAAAAACACAGTGTGTTTCAGGACCAAGTTATTAGTGTTTGTATCTATGTAAAACACTGTGTGTTTCAGGACCAAGTTATTGGTGTTTGTATCTATGGAAAACACTGTGTGTTTCAGGACCAAGTTATTAGTGTTTGTGTGTATGGAAAACACTGTGTGTTTCAGTATCAAGTTA